ATCCTGGAGTCCCTGGATCGAGTCCCGCATCGGGCTCCCTGCTCGGCGGGGGGTCTGCTTCTCCCTCTGACCCTCCCCCCTCTCATGTACTCGCTGTCTCTCATTCTCTCTCTCTCAAATAAAAAAAATCTTTAAAAAAAAAAAAAAAAGAAAACACACACAGCAAGCAACCTGTGAACAAACTCCTCATAATAGGGACCCTGAGAGTTCACGTTACCGAGGGTCCCTCGGGTGCCAGGCTCTGTCCTAAGGCGCACTCTGCAATGAACACGGTATCTTCCAACACGCCCATGCATGAAGTGCTTGTGATTCCCAGGTTACAGATGAGGACACTGAGGCTAGCAGGAGTCAGGAACCTGCCCAGGACCACGCAGCCGGGAAGCAGCAGAGCCCAGATGCGCTCTGGGCAGTTTGGCTCCAGAGCCTGTGCTCCTAACCAGTCTGCTTTCCTACAGGATAGTCACGTTGGTGCACATGGCCCCCTCCACGCTTCTGGGCAGCTCCCTTGTACCTCTTTATCGGCAGGGTAAGCGCCCTGTCCCAGGCACTGCTTCATGCCCCTGGAGCCCGTCCATCTGTGTCATTTGTGTAATCACATCATGTTGGAGCAAGAGGGGGCTTGGAGAGCTCAGTAGGCCAAGCCCCTCATTCCCCAGATGGAGAACCAGGCCTCCTGAGGTCACAGGGCTTATTAACGGCAGATCTAGGACCAGAATCCCATATGCTCCCGTCGCCCTTCCTCCCCCCTCCCCCCCCCGATTGAAGACCTCTGAGACACTGCGGTCCCCCTGTCCCCATCAGGACTGCCGTGGCCCGTCCAGACTCTCTGGTGTCTGGCATTGTGACACCTCCAAGATGTTCGGATCACTTTGGCCTCCACGGTGTCTTCCCGAACCTTTCTCAAAGCCTGTTCTTGGTACTAAGTTTCCCTTGGCTTCTGAGAGTGGAGACATGACAGTCATGTCCCCCCGGGCAGAGAGGTGGGGGTGGCCTGGGAGTGAAGTGACTGCTTGACCTAGCTCTGTCGTCAGTGACCCCTGCCCGGGTGCTATCCCCTTGCGGCCGGGCTAGACCCTGGGAGAGGACAGGGAGCAGATGGGGCTGCCCCACAGAAGCTGTGATCTTCCAGGGAGGAAGGCATTGCGGAAGGGGAAGAGAATGTCCTCAGAGGCAGGAGAGCCCCCAGGGCAGGGCAGATATGTCTGCTAGAGGGGCTTTGTGGGCAGAGGGGCTAGAGGCACCCCCCCGCCACAGGCCTTGACCCCCCCATCCAGGGAGGGCTTCCTGGGGCGGGCCGCACTGCCTGCTGGGAAGCCGGTGGACCATAGACTAATTACCCATCTGGTGGGGGGGTTGCCTAGGCCCACTCTTCAAGGCTACCTGGAACCTTCAGGATCGTCCAAGTCTAGACCAGCTGCCTTATTCGACAGACGAGCAAAGTGACCCTCAGAGGAATCTGGGGAGCTGCCCACAAGGAAGTGGGCAGAGGTGTGAGAATGGGACTGGCCTCCTGATTTCCAGCTCCACATTCTTTCCACAGCATACTCTCTGAGGCTTTTGGGGGTTGGGGTAGAGGAGAAGAAAACAGTGTCCAGGGGCTTCTGGAATGCCTGGCTTAGGAACAGGCTGCTGCTGAGCAAAGAACCACAAAGTCTCCTGTGCACTCCCCCTTCTGTGCATCTCACGGGGCTGTGCGGTTTTCACCGTGAGCGGGGGAAGGCTGTGTGCGGGCAAGTGCCCCATCCCTGTGGCACCCCCAGAGGCCCACGGGGCCCGAATGAGAGCTCTGCCCTGTCCTGCCGCATGTGTGGCAACCTTGTGCATTCAGAGAAAAAACAATCAAGTATAACAATTATTTTTTTCGAGTATCTTTGATTAAAAAAACCCACAAAAGCAATATGTAAAGCTATTTATATAGATAATATAAAGATGTAAAGCAAAGAGTAAAATTTCTACCCTTCCCGATTCCCAAGTGAGTGACCATTGGCTGTCTAGCCTTTTTGATGTTTCTCCATTAATCCACAAACAGAAACGAGCCCTATTGTATAAATAGTGGAGTTGCTGCTTACAAATGGGAGTTAAAAGTTGGGGAAGAGGCGTAACTCATATTTAGTCAGTATTGTCCTTAAATCTCTAGCACCTGGCTTTAGAAGTTCAGTGGCCAAGAATTGCCTTGGCATTTTGTCTGTCTTCCCCATTTGGCTCTGCCTGTCTTCCCTCAGGGTTGTGGGAGCTGGGCTCTGGCTCGCCAGTGGGGAGGGGTGGACAGGTAATAACGGGATTTCTCTTGTTCTCTTTTTACTTGAAGTCTGGCTGTGCAGTTGACATCCAGGTAGATTTGCACACTGGGTGACGCCACTGTCCTGGCCAGCCACCGGCTGGATTCTAGTGTGAGCCGCACAGTTTTTTCCATGGCAGCGCCCAGAGAAATCCGTCCTGCAGACGGATAGACAGGAGATGGGACGGAATCTGGCTCTGAGGTTACCCAGTGTGATCTGGAGGGAGCCGCCTGTCCTCTCTGGGCCTCTGCTTGGTCACTGCCCTTGAGCAGCCTCCCCAGGGACCTGGGGGTTCTGCAGGTCTCCCAGCCCTTGTCCAACCCCCATCTGCTCTCCTTTGCAGGGCATCCTGATCACCTGGACAAAGAAATTTAAAGCGAGTGGAGTGGAGGGAATGGATGTGGTGAAGCTGCTTAACAAAGCCATCAAAAAGCGCGGGGTAACTTTTCTCGGGGCCACCTGTCCCTGCTGCGTGGAGGTGGGGCGGTGTGGGGAGGAGGCTGGGGTCTGAACCAGACTGAGGCCCTTCCTGGGGGCGGTAGTGCATGGCCGGAGGCATCACACGGGGTGTCTTGAAGACCTAGGCCGATGACCGGGGAGGGCCCACAGCCCAGAAGGTCAGGGTGGTTCAAAGCAGGGTTGTTAGAAGCGCTGCCCAGAGGGCCGAGGCCTGGGGCGGGGGCTGCCTCCTTCTGACAGGAGCGCTGGGCTGTGCGGGGGCAGCTGACGCGGGCAGGTGCAGCCTGCGTGGTTGGAACAAAGGCCGTCAGCACAGGGCTGGAGTGCGTGGTTTGCGGAGGGCTGTGGCTCCGGGCGTGAAATCCACTCGGAAGAGAATCCTGAGCCAGATAGTGAAGGTGACCGTGCAGTTTCCATAATGTAATCGCTGCTCTCTAATCCAGCTGATCTGAGGGCCAGCAGTAATGAGAGCAGCACCCGCTACCCCCGGCTCTGAACACGGGGGCTCGCTGGCCATGCCCTCCGTGACCTCTGCTCCCACGTGAGAGTGGGCGGTGACATGCCCATTCTGTGTCCCCAGGACTACGATGCCAACATTGTGGCCGTGGTGAATGACACGGTGGGGACCATGATGACCTGTGGCTATGATGACCAGCAGTGTGAAGTCGGCCTCATCATTGGTAACATCACCCCTTTCCTCGTGCCCGCCCTCAGCCAGTGTTTCCAGAAGGCACAGGCAGCCTCCTCTCAGGGTTTGGTGCGGTCGCAGCTTCTGATCTGGTCTCTCTCTCCAAGGCACTGGCACCAATGCCTGCTACATGGAGGAACTGAGGCACATTGACCTGGTGGAAGGCGATGAGGGGAGGATGTGCATCAACACAGAATGGGGGGCCTTCGGGGACGACGGGTCGCTGGAAGACATCCGCACTGAGTTCGACCGGGAGATAGACCGTGGCTCTCTCAACCCCGGGAAGCAGCTGTGAGTCCCACCTTTTCTGACCAGTCGTGTGCATGACTTTGGGG